TGAGGTTGAAACTGCCCCTGATGAGAATACACTGTGAGAGAGTAAGGCTAGTGAAATTCGATTGAAACATGAGATCTACTCATATAAGTGTGAAAATTTAACTACCAGTTCTTCGTCACCTTAAACGAAATAGAATTATGGCAGCCCTTATATAAATTATAGAGCTTGCTCAGGACCTAATTCTCTGCATAAACTAAGGAAAATTAAAATTGACCCAGAATTATTTAACGACAGGGCATATTCTTTTACCAAATATCAATAATTAAAATATAAGTTGCTTGACCTTATTTTAGCAACGTGGTCATATTGGTAGGAAGAATTAGAGAAACGCACTTAGTCCAGGCACCATATGATAATTTTTAAGGTCGGATCGTAGACGTTGTACATTGCCAGACGTTTCGCCGCCATTGTAGTCGGCACCATCAATGAGCATTGCTATTCTTAGCACCACAGAACTTGTGAGAGACAAATGAAGCCGATCCTTTGACCAATTGTTTGCCAAACAATCGTGGTATCTCTCCTACCGCCCTGGGCTAATCACCAATTCTATATCCTAGTAGCACACCTTCCCTATGACAAATTTTACTTGTTTATTTAAATGTGGTACGATGTGCCATTTTGAGCGGATTTAATGGGAACTCTCCGCATTCCACGCTAGCTTTATCACCCACCCCCACCCTCTCTTCACCCTTGTGCTAAGAATATTGATCAAAGCATGTCATTGTTACGCCGTCCGCCTTCCATAGGTCTAAGAATATCTCTCTTGCCCCGTAGGATCCGTCTGCTATCTCCCTGCTTCAAATATTTCACTAAACTCCTGCCACCTCATCTGTGATACTCGAAGCGTTATTTCCCACATTCTGCTTCTGGGAGATTAACTTTAGGCTAAAGCCCCCGAGTAATTCTCATGGGCAAGCCTTTGCTTCATGGACCATGTTTTTGATCAAACAGGTCTACTATCAGACAACTAGCTCCAGTTTTTGCCGTGTCTATCCTGTTTCTATCCATAATACCAAGTCTATGACTTCCTATGCCCTAGTCTCTTGTGTGGCAATCCACAAGAGACCCCTGCCACCTCATCTGTGCTACTCGAGGCACTATTCGCCATCCCCTGCGTTTGGGTGACTGATTCGAGGCTAAAGCCTCTGAGTAAGTCTCATGGTCACGCCGTTGATACATGAACCACGTCTATGGTAAAATAGACCTATTGTCAACCAACTAGCTCCAATCTCCGCTGCGTCTATCCTGTTTATATCCCTAATCCCAAGTCTATGACTTCTCATTCCCTGGTCTCTTGTGTGGCAACCCACAAATATTGTGGTACTGCTTGCTTTGATTAGGTTCAATGATGAACCACGTTTGTGGGATGGCACACAAGAGACTATGGCATAGGAAGTCATAGACTTGGTATTATGGATAGAAACAGGAAAGACCTATTGATGATAATACATAAATGGATAATCTCTTTTTCAAAATCTTCGTCAGATCTATTTATTGATCGATATATATATCACAGTCAAAAACTCATAGTAAACGAAGTCGAAATAGAGACTATAGCACAAATTGCTTGACAATTTGTTTATAAAAATAATTCTAGATTACACTGCTTCTGCTTCCATTTGCTTCCTCATGGATGATAGGTCGGCTTCATGCTTCTTCAAAGCTTGAGCTTGTGCATCAGAATTGGAACCTGAATCAATTAATTCTAATCTAACTGCTTCCAGTTCCTCATTTAGGTCTCGCTTCGCTTCTTCAGCTTTATCACGGGCGGCCTTCTCTGATTCAAGATCCTCCTTTAGCTCTTGGATTATAGCCTCATTTCCACGAATCTATTAAAACAAACAATATAACAGGTTTCGTAATAAAATATGAATTAAGGATGAAGCCTTGAATAAAAAAATCACTTTGTATTAAGGTATATATATTTATATATCAACTCGCACCTAAAAAGCTGTATGGATGTAAATTATTAGATCATCCTCACAACTTTTTTAGAACCAAGTAGTGAGTTGTTTAAACAACTACAAATTGAAGGAATCAGGGAGATAAATTAAAATATACAGTATATATGATAAATAACCGCACCTTTAGAGGTAAAATACTGGGCAATCGATAATAAGATCACTTTAAGATAAAGACTTTGTATGTTGGAATTTAAAATATCGTGTATAAATACTAATTAAAAAATCATAAGGATTTCTATAGTTTATATGCCTGCTCATAGACTCTTATTGATAATTATGTGTAAAATAAAGTATAATAGATATTAAACAATATATTAATATATCTACCGTTTTAAGGCAAGTATTCTTTCCAACAATTTCTTCATCCAGTTTAGCCTGCACAGATAATAACTCATCTTTAGCGTTTACTAAACTAGCCTGGAGCTGATCAATGCTCCTAGAGTGTTCAGAATTTTGATCATTTTTTTCATTCATTTCTGATTCTAAACGACGTTTAGAGCGTTCAATATCCTGACGAATTTTCTGTTCCCTAGAGAGCCGTTCCTCAAGTTCATTTAGGCTAGATTCCTGCTTTGACTTAAGCTTTGCTAATTGTTTACTTTTTTCCTCTTCTTCAGCAAGATGCGAAGAAAGTTCAGAAACTCTATCTTGAAGTATTTTTTTTTCCTTCGCTAGTTTATTATATTTGTCTTCAAGACTGGCATAGTCATCAGACAATTTTTTAATACGCTGATCTGATGTACTCTTTTCTAGTTGTAGTTTTTGCCGTTGTTGCTCTTCTGCCTCAAGTTGATCTGACAAATCACTTATCTAAAAAAAGAAATGAAATTGTCAGAAAACAAAATAACGTAAAATATCAGATAAATGAAAATATCACAGGCTGTCAGATATGCATAACTTTAAGTGAATAATATTAGCTAAAACCGAGGGACTAAATTCATCTTAACAATTTAGGAAATAGACCTGTTGGAATCGAATCCAATTGCATAAGACGTATATAAATCACCTGCTCTTGAAGTTTTTTCTTCTCTGTCTCAAGTTCCTGTAATCTTATCTTTTCGTCAGCTTCCCGAGTCTCCATGTCAGCGAATTCGAATTCAATTTCTTTAACCCGTTGCAGAAGACGTTGGCGTTCCTAAGGCAGAAAATAATTGGTCACAAATAAAATTTATGGTCAAATCGAGCAAATATTATAAAGTAATAGGTACAAATAATAATAAAATAAATTAGATAATATTAGTCGTTAAAAAATGTAGGACGATACGCGAAGTAAATACTTGCTAAAATTAAAATATCGAAATATAATAAAACTAGACCATGAAAAATAGAGTAAAAATTTGTCAAAGTCCATTGATTTTTATAAATAAATCTCTATACAATGTAAGAACTTAATTAAATTGATAGGTAAACTTCGAACTCAATCCTCTTTCATGCAATATTAGCTTTTGCGAAAGATCGTAATTCATTAAGAATTGTATTTAAAGGAGACGTAAGAGGAAATATAATTATAAAAAAGGTAAAGATTCTGAACAAATAAAAAAGGAAAGAATGAGACTAGATTAAGTATTCATGATAAATAGAGTTTAACATTCCTGTGCTTAAATTAATCAAAACGATTGCTAAACTTAGAAAACATGTGAGTAGTTTATGAATCAATTGCAATCAGATGTCAATCAAGGAATAGGGAATAGTTTTTAAAAATCAGGCATCGTTCAAGGATCCTAAGAAAATTATCTAATTGAGTAATAGCGAAATTCTGAATACAAAGATACGAAAATGAAAATATCGAGATCCTCTTTTAAGATATTGTAGGTATCCTAAGGAATACTGAAGCATATGATCTTAGTGGTCCTTTGTAGGACCTTAAGATTAGTGCAAATCCTAGGATAGAATCGAGTGTCCAAATAGCCACAAATAAGTACGTTTAGTTTAGTCAACGGCAAAATTTAGATAAAGATAATTTAAGTGGAACACTACGTTTCACTTTTGTAGATTCAAGATGATCTTAAAGGCAAATATTCCTAATATGTTTGTGTGACATATAATTCAAATGCAAAGCTGGTCAATAAACGGTGAAAATAAGTAAATCTGCTTTGAAAATTATGGCAGAGAAACTAAAATAAAGATGGGGTATTTGGTCAATTAAAATAGCAAATACAGAATTGCTTAATATAATGCTACTGCAAAAATGTGAAATCAAAAAGGCCTGGCCTACTTGAAAAACATGTCTGCTCTGTGACCAAGAGTGACTTGTGTAAGTATGATGTAAGTAGACATATTTCATTGTATACAAGAAAAATATGCTGCCCAGGTGAGGCAGAGCAAAATTGATTTAATAACGTGGATAAACTCGTATGCTCATCTGTAAATTTCATTATTTAAAAAACTCACTTAAACCCGAAAATAACGCCTAGCATGTGGCGCAAGTATCAATTA